TGAATGTTCCTGCCAGTGTTTACCGATTTAAACGTATTTGTGACGACTCCGAGAACTTAACCGTGACTTTTCCTTTCATTTTTTTTTCCACTCAAAGAAAGGCTCTCGCTTTTGAAGTTGTAAGACTATCACGTACAAAATGTTCCGAAATGCCTTTAAGAGGCGGGGCCTAGTGCGCGCGTGGGTTTCTGTCACTCAAAGGCAGCACCAGTTGTTCACGGAAGCTGTGAAATTTTGGATCTCCCAATTCGGAAAATTTGATGTAGCCGCATCGCAAAACCATCGCGATGTCCGAAACGTGTTTCATCGACGCTTCACGAATCCTTCCAAGGTCAGCGTGTCACGCTCGACCCGGCTGGACGAGGTTCCCTTTGAACTAATGATTCACTTTCAAGTAGCTTATCTTGAATAACGTTGGGAAAAATGCTGCCGTGGGCGCACTTTGTCCGATTTTTATTGCTTTTCCATAGCGGGTTAAGAGAATATTTAAGTGTCATTCACAAACACGGTCAAACGGGGTTAATCTGGTGATGTACGGTCAAGGTCGATTCGTTGAATTGCGCGGGTGTGCCTCACGTGATAAAATAGCCTGTTCTTGCGCCACACTTTGGGTAAACGGATTCACTCGAAAATGTCATCGGTCAGAGTGTGCGTCATTGCGAATCGAAGCCGGAATTTTTGACTGTGATAACATCTCAGATTGCGCATGTCTTTCCCCTCGGCGTTCCAAACCCCCCCCTCCAACCCATGCCACCAACCCTGTCGGGCGCTTTTGAGCAACACCCCGGACCTTCTCACTCTTGCTGCGAGGGTAAAACATGGTTGATCTTTTCGAGCTGTTGATGTCATCCTTGAGAGCATGAGTCAACCCTTGAAGCAGTACAGAGGAACACTTTAACCGTTCATCACCCTCTGACACGCCCCATTCCCTTCAACACCCCCCCCACCCCATGTGGGAAAGCTGCTCACTCTCTTGTGTGTTAATACACATCACCCTCTGTTTGAACCCGCACTAGCGAGGTGGCGTTAGCTTCGACAAAAAAAAAAAAAAACTACAAAGAGAATAAGTGAATGACATTCAAGGCCAAGTGAACGAAATGGGGACGTTTCCAAACCCCCGCTCGGCAAAGCAAAACGGAAAGTCACTTGAGGTGAAATTTGAAAAGCGACGGACCCCGAAATGCCAAAACCTGACACCGCACAACAAAAGTAGCAGCCATTGTAAATGTCAGGAATGCTGCAGTTACGAACACGAGTAACTGGATGATGAAATCCCCTTCAAATCGGAAAAGTGGAACCGAACAACACTCGAGGACCCGTGATGCCAAAATGTGACATCAAAACAACAAAAAGCACAACTCGGCGTGAATGCAGGTTATGCTGCGTTCACTCAAACTGGGAAACTTCCGACCCCCGCAACGGACTGCGTAAGGACTTCTCATTTCTTGAGTGCCGTATTCCGTCGGCAAATACGCCTCCGCCTGAACACCAACCGCTATTCAAGACACCAACTTCCATGCAACCTACGACGCGGAGGTGTTGGGAGTTGGATGACGCGTCGTGGCCGCGGCGCCCGTTCGCCGGCCGGTTTGGGGCGGAGGGCGGGGGGTCGCGCGTGCGGCCCGCCGATGGCAAAGTGATGCATACCCAGCAGCCACGGCGGTCCAGAAGGATTAGGCCGAGAGGGAGTATGTGAGGGTTGCCTAGCAACTATGAACCCACTCAAACGCCGCCTGGCGAGCAGACAGGCCTTGAATAGGCACAAGTTGAAGTCTTGACTCAACCGGCTATCACGGCACAGAATGACACACACACACACACACACACACACACACACACACACACACACACACACACACACACACACACACACACACACACACACACTGTGTG